TAGGACATATTTTTGCTGACCATGATCCAGACCGCAACCTGAGTAAAGAGGCCTCTTAGTCCCTATCATACAAATACACCCCTGTGTCTTCTTTTCATTGATGTACATTCTCAAGGTTTCTCCTTATGAAGGGCTCAAGGAGAACAGAGCCACCCCATGAGAACCCATTCCTCATGCATTTGGCTTCAAACGATGCCAAAGCCCCTCCTCAGTGAGCCCAAAGACAGTCTGATGAGGAGCTTCTTGCACTCATATTAAGGGAACAGGAACTGCAGCTACAGGAGATCAAAGCTCCTGCACAAGCTGGGTGTTGCCTTGGGCAGAGCAGAGCCCTCCCTCGCCTGTGCTGGGTGAGCGGGCATCGTCCTTCCCAGACAGGTTCGTGTAGCCGGACTGTACCGGGAGGGCTGCACGCAGAGGATGAAGTGAGAGCAGCAAATCCTTGCAGCATTTCCTCTGAGCCCCTGAGGACCACAGCAGGTTTGCACTGTCAGTCGGAGCTAGATTAGAGTCCCAGGAGCCTGGCAGCCACCGGTCCCCCCTGGAGCCTGGGCAACAACTTTCTTTCAGGCCAGGACTCCCACTCCCCCAAAGAAAAAGCTGTTCCTGATGAAAACGCTGCACCGACAAGACCTCGGAGCACCTCCTGGCCAGACGGTCTGCCCGGATGCAAGTCAGTGTCCCGACAGAGGCAGTAGCCAGGCTGGATGAGTGCCTAGCTGGAAACAAGCCCAGCTCTGGGGAGAGCCCTGAGGCAGCAAGAAGCCCCCTCAACCACTGCACAGACCCCACAGCCGGGCGCATGGGTCACAGGGGTGATGGATGCGAAGGGGGGATGAAGGCAGAACATCAGCCACGGCTGGGTTAGCGGGGTCAGTGGGGGTCAGAACAGAGGGGCCCAGGATCCCCAGGGCACACCGACATTAACCACTTCACTGCCATGCAGCCAGCCGTGATACCTTCTACCCTTCCAGTTAGTGCTAGAAAAAGGGCTTTCAGATTTTGGGAAAGGCCTGAAACCCCCTGAAGCAGCACACCGTACAAAACCCACGTGTCCAGGGAGGATGTCCAGACCAGGGGGGTGGAAAAAACTCCCTCTTTCCTCCCCCCTTCCCAAACTATCCCCCCCCACACCTTGCACATCTCCAGGCTTAACTCAGTTGTGCCCAAGGAGCAGCACTCATCCTGTTTCGGCTGCAGCAAACCTGGAAAAGCCCATGTGGCTTAACCCACATGGTGGGGCGGCATGGCTGCAAACAGTCCCTGAGCTGTCCCCACTCTCCATCCCAAGGCCGGGACACCACCCTGTCCCAAAGTGCATCTTATTCCCTGACAGCAGCTCTCCCTTGGGGACATTTCCACCGTGGGGGATGCCTGCCTGCTCCATGCAAGCGGTAAAGCCCTGCCATGCCCCAAAACTCTGCCTGGACATCTCCACTTTCCTCATTGCTGCAGATTTATCGGTGCTGTCAGACAAATCAGGCCGAGCAGAGCTCGCCCCCTCGTGGGGTGCAGCCAGGGGATGCCTGGGCCCCCCACACCCAGAGTGGTTGGGTGCCCCAGGGGTGCAGGCTGGTCTGTGCCTCTGCCCCCCTTCCTCCAGAGGAGCAGGAGCCCCAGCACCACCTCAACCAGAAGAAGTGCTTTTTCACCCCACCCCAGCAATGCTGGTCTGGCAAAACCTCCTCTTAGCAGCCCCCGGGATGGTCCCTGGGACAGCCAGTCCAGCCTTCCTCACAGCCAGATCTCTCCAAAATCCAGGGGCAAAGGGATTCCCACAGGCTTCAGAGCCAGACTTCACCCCAAGAGTTTTAAAACAGCCAGCCCTCCATCCAGCAGAGAGCCTTCTGTGGTTTAAAAAAAGTAAAAGTAAAAAAAAAAAAGCTGCTGGGCAATCCCCTACTTTAACACATGCCTCCAAACCCATAGCATTACATTGCAAAATAAGCTCAGAGGTGAGGCAAGGCAAGCCAGGCTTTTTTTTTGCAAGGAGAAATGGGCAGTGAAGGCACCTGATACCTCCCTATAATTAGAGACAGTTCCTTATCCCTAATGCCACTGCCAGGGCACCTATATCCAATTTGGAAATGCTAAAGTATTGCCCAGCTTCATTAAATTATCCATCTGGACCTCCTCTGTCCATTTCCCTACTATTTTTTGACTTTAATGAGCCCAGCTGGGTCAAACTGTGACCAGTTACTCCGGAGCAGGGATCAGCCATCCCTCCATCCCTCCCCCAAGGAATCCGGTGTGCCGAGGGGTCCAAAGACTCTCCACATATCGGTTTTCCCAGACAACCTCCTTCCAATCACGGGTAAACTTAGCAACAGCAGTCATCCTAGCAAGGGCCCTCGAGACTCCTCTAAGGATCTGGAGAATTCAAGACAGCTGGGAATAGACATAGCAAAGAAAAGCCTGGAGCTTGCTAGCGCAGCAGAGCCTCTCCCCAGGCGGTGACCATACATGGGCTGCCAAGGGTTCCCTGCAGCTGATGGGGTGGGAAGCCCCAGAAGGAAGGAGATGGGGGAGTTTGGGAGAAACCGATCTCATCTCAGACCCCATAGGTGAGAGAAACCTGCCTCATAAGCCATGCTCCTGCTCAGGTGCAAATATCCTGCAGAGCACAGCCCAAGCCATAGGGATGTGCACAGCCCTGAGTGTAGCAGCTAAGATCGGGGCTGTCTGAAGCCTCCAGAGCTCTATGGAGAGTGCTCTGGATAACTGACCCAATACCTATTGGGTTATGTAGCTGTGGTGTAAGGCAGGCTTCCCCCACACCGCAGGCTCCCAGCCTCCTACCATCAAGGCAGGAGGGTTAGCTCCTTCATCCTGTACCATGTTGTCCCATCAAGGGCAGGACAACCCAAGCAGCCACGTCCCCAGAGCCCACCTCTTCTCACTTCTTTTGGGAAGGCTTCACATCAGGCTTGCACCACAGTGGTTTCCTATACAGCAATTCCAGTTCATGGAAGAGAGCATAACACCAGTTTTGTTTAGGTGTTACGCTGGCATCAGCAAGACTTTGCCAGCATGTCCCCGTTTGTATGGGGAAGCAGAGTAAGCTATGTCCAAATTAGGGTTTCTAGGATATTTTCTAATGCAAGCTCCTCTTCTATATACACTGGGCACAGTTAAATAGATAAGGTTCATTGTTTAAGCAAACCCAGCACCTTTTTTCTCCCCATATCTCCTGCTGTGGTTTTACACCAAGAAGCCTTGGGATTTACTTTCCTGGCAGCTCCATCACAAGACTCACTGCTCACATCTCCAGCACACCTTACGCTGTCTTAGGAGCACTGTCCTGACTCCATCCATACACAGGTCAGCTTGAAAAGAGCTTTGTCCTCAAGGAGAGGAGATCAGAGAGCTGAGCTAGCCACAGGGTGAGAAAAGGTAGCCCCAAACAGCAAGCAAACACTTCCTTCCTCCATTTTGGGAGTGGAAATCACCAGAGCCTAGCAAGCATTTAAATAGCACAAGTAAAAGCAGGAGAAGTTTAGAGCTGCACATGAAGCTATTACACAAGTCGGGAGGGAAAGTAATTCTCCATATTTTAAAAACAAAAAGGAAGTTATGTTCACTTACTACTTCGTTTCCATCAAGTTTCATATTTCATTAAAATTCTAAAATGCAGCTAGGGAGGCAGGGTTGTGCCACCCTGCCATCAGTATTCATATACGCATTTTTTAAACAAGTTTCTAAAGGCTATAAGGGTTGGAGTGGTACAGAACAGACCCCTCCAGGCAGCCTCTTATTCAGCTGAAATTCCAGCAGGAGACAGAGAAGGGAACAAGCTGACCATGCCTGACCAGCAGCCCCCGCCGCCTCGCCCTGGCTGCACCGATGTACCTGTGCCCGCCGCAGCAAGAGGGGAGCGGGAAGGCCCAATTGCTTTGGGCCACCCCCAGCATCTGCTCCTTGCTCCTGCAAGGTGAGCTGAGCCTGTGGCAGAAGCATGGCCAGGCTGGAGCGATGCTGTGAATCCCACAGACACACTGAGAAACCCCTGCACTCCCCCAGCAGCCAAGGCTTCCCCTTTGTTTCAGCAGAGAGTCATGCATGGAGCCTTCCAGCATCTTTTGAAGCTTCCAGCCAAGGCTAATTGCTGCCAGGTGTCAGCCAAAACACTTACTGCAACAGTTAGTGACAGGAGATGACACACCTTTCTCCTCACATTGTCACTCAAGGGTTTTTTTTCCTATCAACATGAACTGCGCTGGCTTTCAGAAGCCTTGGGGAGAAATGCTAATGCAAGCTTTGAAGCTGGAGGGGAAAAATCAGGGAGCCCCCCAAGCCCCCTGGATGCTCAGCCTGAATCCTGTCCAAATCTGAGTACTTCTGGGTGATACACCTCCGCAGAGCTTATCCCTGTCTGCCTCCACCACAGACAGATGTGGTCTCTGCTACTGGTCTGTCTCCTTTTAACCCCCATGGAAAGCTGTCCGTGTTGAAGCAAACAGACCCCAAATTTTACAATCTCTGCTGATAAAACAACAAAGCGGACTGGAGGCACAGGGAGATGTATAACCTTACAGCAACTAGCTTGAAACTTTGCCAGGTTAATTCAGTTAGAGGCATAGGGTACACAGCAAGAAATCAGATGTGCCCAGCGATTGCTGCAAGGAGAGGAGGCAGATGATTTCCACCCACTGGTCTTAAAAATGGGGCTAATTTCAGCTGTGGAGCAGGTCCAGGTTGCCAGACCCCTTGCTGAGCTTGCCTGCTGCTGGAGCTGTGTTTTCCCACTTGATCAAACTCCCCTCTGAAGGCTTTGAAGTTCAAAGGAGATGAGACCTTTAGGAAGTCCAAGTCTCTCCCTAGCTGGAGGAGCTTGTCAAAAGCCTGCCAGAGCATCTGACCCATTTCAGCCTCATGGATCATCATCGTTTTGGCTGTGCATCCTCCTTTCCCACCATTACCCCTCCCAGTTTGCCAGCCTCCCAGTTTCCTGGGACTGGAAGGCAGCTGTGGCATTGGGGTACCCAGTCCCCAGGCCTCACCTCTCACTCTCCCCGAGGGATTCATCTCCCACTTGGTTGACACCTTCCGCACCCTCCTGGCACCCCTCCGAGTCTGACATCTTCTCCCCTGGCCGGCACGGCGGCCCCGCAGACAGCTCTGGTGCAAGGGTGCCGCCGCTGCTTCGCTTTTCCTGTGCTCGGCAGAAGTGAGCTGTGCCGGAAACTTCATGGGCTGAGGGCTTGGGGGGATGGGAGAGGGGCAGAGGGAAGGCAAATTTGGGGTTTTTTTTTGTGTGTTTTTGAAACCATTGGGACTATTTTAAGGTTTTGCCTCTGCTGACAGCTCAAAATTGGAAAGTGCTGGGCTAACCTAAAGGGAAAGTGGGGGGCACAGACATCCCTACCATGGCAGGGAGAGGGGTGACCTGCTGGTCCCCCAGCTGTCCATGCCATTTTGGGGACAGCCAGCATCTCTAAACCACAGCACCCTACAGTGCACTGAGTACCAGGGTGCTGCCACAGGAGCTGCCGAGGTTGTTCTGACTTCACACCTCTCAAAGCCTTCTGGAGGCAAAGGGTCTGCTTCTGCCCTGCAGCCGTCACCCCTCACCTCCCTTCCCAGCTCTGCTCCTTCCCCACAGCTTCCCGCTGTTGCCAGCATGAGTGGAGATTCTGCAACAGCTCCTGGGGCTTGGACTCTCCTCTCTTTGTCTCTTTGCTACCAGTGAAGGACACGGCCACGAGCCGATGGTACAGCCTCGCGAGTAGATGCCAGCAGAACATGGTGGCACAGCCTCACCATTTCCTCCCCACAATGAGGGGGATGAGCATCCCCAGCTTCAGTGGAGGACCAACAGCAGAGAGGTCCCACATCCCCACAGCATGGCCCCTGCCAAAGCCTCCCCATCCACAGTGGGACCCCCACGGCAGGGGCAGACCCTGCTGGCACCATGGCACAGGTTGGGGTCCAGCCCCCCAGGCAGGCGACACCCGCCTCTCCTGCCAAAGCTTTATTTACACTGCTGCTGCCAGGATGCAGCTCTTGGCAAAACCAGAGAGAATGGCACCCATTCAGTGCCCTTGAGCCCGGGGGGATGGCGGGGACAGGAGGGAGCGGAGGACGGGTGTGGAGTGGCAGGTGCTTAGGACTCGCCAGCCTCAAACATCTTCTTCCTGCCCTCCATGCCGGACTTCTCCTCGATGTTCTTCCTCCAGTCACCAACATCACGGAGGTCCTTCTCCTGGGGGAGGGATGGGCACATGGGTGCAAGCGGTGTAAGAACCCACCCGGGTGGGGCCCTTCACCCATCCACCCATGGAAAACCCTGTGTCAGCTAGAGGAACCCAATTCCACCCATGGTGTACATCTTTTTGGGCTGCACCCTCCTTTTTCAACATCATGGGTGCTAGAGGAGGAAATATTGAGCAGGAAGAACATTACAGAGAAAGGCTCACCCTCAACCCTGTCTATCACACAGGGAGGCGTGAGCACCGAAAAATGGAGGCCAAATCCTGTATGGGCACAGGGGAGAGGGAAGGAGTACCTTCTCAGTGTCCTCCTTCTTGACTTGCTTCAGGTTGGCACGGAGGTCCATGCAGACCTTGTGCTTGGACCCCAGCAGGGCCCGCAGCATTGCATCAGCGGACATGCGCACCCTGCGCAGGGGTGGCCTCTTGAACTTGCCCCGCAGGTCAAAGAGCTTCTGGCTCAAGTCTTCCAGCTGTGGGGGGACAGAATGGGGGGGGGCAAAGAGAGAGCAGGGTGAGAGTTTCGTGAGATGGACCCAAGCAGCACGGGGAGGCACGAAGCGTGGGTTGGAGACTCCCCTGAGGGGTGGCTCCAGTGGAAACTCACCTCCTTGTTAGTCTTCTGTAGCTTCACCTCTGTGTCATACCTCTCCTCATCCACTGACTCTATCTTGGCATGAAGCTTTTTGCACAGCTCCTGGGAGGAAAAGCACAGAGGGATGTTAACTGCTAGGACCCCCACACATGATTCCTCTCTCCTGACCACTCTGGCTCTGGAAGACCTCAGTCCAGAAGGCTAGATTGGGTCAAGACTAGATGGTGAAGGGTAGCTATCAGGCCAGCTCCTGGTCTCCATGTGACCGGCTTCATGCAAATGCTGCCTCAACACATTGTTAGACATGCAGCTTTCTTGCCAGCCAGACCCCTTTTTTTGCAGAGAGACCCCAGGTGTCGCTCACGCCAATTCCACATCCAGCCAGCTCCAGGGCACCCACAGGTGATAAGGGGGTCAAGACAGGAAGGACAATCTAGATCCACCAGGCTGACTGATGGAGCCAAATCCTTTCTGCTCCAGCACAGTGGAAGGGTTAAATAAGCCTTTACCTGAAGTTCCTGCATGGATCCTGGGAGCGACAGAGGAGGGCAATGCTCTGCCAGGTAGTTTTGCTTTTCCACTTCTTTAGCAGCTGCTTCTCTTTCTATTTCAGTGGCAGCGAGCTGGAGCATAGCACTCTGGAAGGCAGCAGGAAGAGGGTCAGCACGGAGTGGAGGCGAGGGAGGAGGGCTGGGGGGGGGTTGGCAAGAGAGGGAGCTTGGGGAGCTCCCCATCAATACGAGCATCTCCAAGCAAGGGATACTGGTGGGGACCCAGTAAGAGGTGGGAAAGGGTGTGGGGGACCCCCAGGTTCTGCATTGTGGCCTCTTCCAGGAGGGAGAGTGCTGAGAGCTGGCTGGCTCAGGATGGGAGACGGGATGGTCAGGACACACCTTGCCCAGCCCCAGCAGTGCCACGTACCTTCAAGTGCTGCCGACGGGCAGTGGCTGCCCTCCTTTTTTTCTGCAAGTGGGAGGAATAAGAGAAAAGCAGGTTATCAGGCGCCTGTTCCCCTTTCTGTTCCCCTTCCCCATACAACCCCACAGTCCGCCAAGGACCTGCAGCCATGCCAGGGCATTGGCTCCAGCCAGGATGTACAGCTTGACACACAGCTGGTCCCCAAACCAGCGGCACTCAAAGAAGAGGCTCCCTACTGAACCCAGCTTTGCCAACCTCAGGTAGCTAAAACCTATGAAGTGCCTCAGGAAAAGAAATGAGGGTGACAAACTTGAAGATGTGCATATAAAATATAACTTCAAACTTGGCTTCTTGGGACTTTTAGCTTTTTCTCTAATTTCCTATTCATTCAGACATGTGTTTTGCTTTGTGCTCAACTGCCCTGATGCCCCTGGGCACTTGGGAGCTGTGGGATGTCTTTCTGAGCCGTCCCTGGCTCACATGGTGAGAAGGACAGCCAGGCAGGGGAAAACATGAAGGCTGCGTAATTTCTGGAGCTGAAAGACCCAGCACAGGTGATGCTGAAGGTGATGCTGTGAGCAACCCCTTTTGCAACGCTTCCCCAGCCTGGCAGTTACGGGTATTTTGATGTGCTGCGTTAGGGCACTGGGGAGGCAGGTCCAGGGCATGGGGGATTCATCGCAGCTGGAGGACAGACACAACCATGGGGTCTGCAGGCCTGGAGGCTTCTCTGGCTAGGAGAGGTGGAGGGCCACAAGGCTGCGGCTGCAAGATGCAAACTGGCTCCTTCTTCCCTGGGATTCCAGGTGAGCCTGGAAGACCAAGCCTACCCTTCTGTACCCATGATGCACTGGAATAGCAGCAACAGGTCTCCTGTTTATAAAAGAAGCCACAACCTTGATCTGCTGCTGCATTGCAGCAGATCAGCATTGCATCTTTCCTCAGCATTTTGCCCAGCAGGCTGAGCAAGGCTGAGTGCGGCTGGGGCAAAGGAAGTGCACCCTGACATCTGATATGCTGTGGTGGGGGAGTAAGAAAGCAGTGTTTGGGTGTGTGTCTGTGGTGCATAGAGGAGGAAGTGGATAAGGATCTGTAGAGTGACATGTTAACAAAATCTGACTTGTTTTGCATATGCAAATGGTGCTAAGGCCCTCCTGACAGGGCTGAAGGGCTCTGCAGAGGAAAGGCATCCAGTTCAGAGATGCAGCACACCATTAACTGGTAGGATTTTCCTCGTATGAATCTGGCCATGGGCCACAAGAGAGCAGATCCCTTGAGCACTGTTAGCCCAGGGCATATTCTCCATCTGAAAACTGGTACCTTAGCAAAGAGTGCCTTCCCAGCCTGCCTTGGGGGCACTGGGTTTGATGGGGAATCAGGGCACCTGTTGGACATCAGTGCCATATTGTGGAGTTTCTATGTGTTCCTGAAATCCTCTTTTCTCTTGGTGAGGACCCCCATATGGGGAGGTGCCAAGCAGAAATGAAGGATGGAGCAACTTGCGAAGAGGAGATATGGAGTGACAAAGCCATGCACAACTCTCCCACACCTTCCCTTGCGTTTCCCGAGCCACCCCCAGGCTTCAAGCACTGCCCTGCTCCGGCTCTGCCAGAAGCCAGGGACAACTTGTTAAGGACGGAACCTCCACCCTGCTCTCGCTGCCCTGGATCCAGGGCTCACCAGATCGCCTTTGAGAAGCAATTTGGCAGTGCCCTGTGAGCAGAAAACGAGGTGCTAGGTGTGAGGAAGGACGAAAGGATGCTCAGCCCAGGGCTGGGTGGTGGATGGGTGATGGATGGGTGATGGAGGAGGGGCGGCTCTGGACCACTGCCTTCCCAGCACCATCTCGTGGCCGGCTGGGGAAACAGGAAAGGAGGGAAAAAAGCATCTAACTCCAAGCCAGGAGGCAGAAAAGACCTTGAAAAGGGATTTTTCTTCTACTTCCCATCTTTACCAGAAGGAGTCAGCAAGAAGGCCTTGCCATGAACCTTTCTTACCCACACACACCCAGCAGCTGCTTTTCCTAAGGAGGAACGGTGAAGCCAAGACTGATGCCATAAGCACTGCTAAACGAAAAACCCCAGCAAGATACACTTACCTCTTCACTGTTCGGGATGAGCAGATGGACAAGGAAGGGAAGCAAGAGAAAGGGGAGAAAAAGGCAGTTAGCATCCTAATCAGAAACAAGCAGAGGAATCTTAACAAGCATAAAAAATTGGCAGTTGAACAAAAGCTTTTAAATGCCAACAACATATTAGAGACAGAAAAATGGGAACTTACTCAGACATCTTGCTTTAGATGGTTGTGAGCCTGCAATGAAAACCAAGGGGAAAAAAAAAAGGTTCACAATTATTCATGCTGGTGGTGACTTTCTTGGTTTTAAAAACAAAGCAAGATTCCTCTAAAAAAAAAAAAAAGAGGAACAGGTTTGCTCTTATTTCCCAATTTCTCCAAATTTTCATCATATGGGGAACTAGGCTGCAGTTCGTGGACGAGAGCCAAACACGTGCCTACTCACAGCCACACAAACCTCAGCATCGGGGGACTTCTGGCCCAGCACCGTTTGGTCTGGTCACAAAGAGAGATTTGTGACAGTAATTCCTGCAGGCATGTTTCTTGCTTGACCCCCAGGAAACCATTTTATGCAATGAAGGAAGAAGAGGAAAAAGCTATTTTCAGTTTACTGCTTCACTTTGCCATGCAGTCTTGCCCCATTTCACAACAAGAAATATCCCAAAGCCTGCGGAGCGTTGGGACACCCTGGGAATGGAGTCAGGCAGTGACCCCAGGCGACAAGGAAGGACTTCAGAGGATGCTGCTGCCAGTATACGCATCCATTGTGTGGGGCAGGGCAGCTTGTTGCAACAGCCTCAGCACAGATGACATAGACCCGGGTTGAAAGTTGTTGTTGAACTGGTAAAGGCACAAAGAGTTTCCCCAGGCAATTCCTTGCATTCCCTTTAAGTGGAAATTTTACAGGTACAATGCAGCATATTAGGGAAGAGATGGAAGAGCACCTTTGTTTTGCTGCAAATTATTTCCCTGTAAATAGAATTTTACTTTTCTAGCAGAGCAATATCTCCTGCTTGTATCTCCTAATGGAAGGATGCAGAAGTGTCGGCCGAGCCCAAACTAAGCTAGTCCTTTGCAGAGCAGGCAAGCCCCTGAAACACAGCCATCTGCAGACTTGAGAGGCTCTGTCGGGAGGTGAAGTGTTAACGGGGGCTCATGCCCGAGGGAGGAGGCACAGCTTGCAGGGCCAAGGAAACTTTATCCTGGAAAATGTGCAGGCCCATCACATTATTGGGGGGGCGGTGGGGGGGAAGGAAAGTGCTTCTAAAAATGGTCAGGGAGCTGCAGAAGGAGCTGCAGCTGTCTCCTCGGACGGCAGCCTTTCCCCGGTGCCAGCCCCCGTGACTCAGGGAGGTCGGGGGATGCAAAGCAAAAGCCACCGCAGGTGGCTGGGCTACAGCTGAGGGACAGGGCGGCTGAGGAACGCCAGCTATTTTTACTTGCGTCCCTGCCCCACACCCGCATGCACCCACTTTGGCGGTGAGCACTGAGGAAGCGAGGGGACAACGCCAGGCTGCGGCTCACTGCCTGCAACGTGGGCTTTAAATCACCTCTTCTTGGTGGGGGGGACAGTAAATTTGGACCTCATCCCTGCCTGAGGGTGTTTTTTGGGGAGGACGGCGCTGCGAAGACGGGGTTGGGTGTAAGTAGGGAGCATCACAGAGTTACCACAGGCAAGGATCCTGTGTCCTATGGCCCTGGGGAGGTCAGCGTTAGGGAGCCTGTGGCTCCGCTTGCCCTTGCCACTCAAGCCAGACAGCAAAACCAACCAAGGGAGGAGAAGGCATGAAACCAAAGAGAAAGGCATGAAAAGACAGAGGGAGACTTTCCAATGCACGGACTCTCTCCCGCAAGAGGTTTTATTAGCACCCCGCTTTCTCCCAGCAGGTCACCCCACCTGGCATTTATCTCCCTAAAACCCAGGTGAGTGGGTTCCCCGTCACCCCCTAAGAGCAAGCTGGGTCAGTAAAAGACATGCAAAACGGCTCACCCAAGTCTGGAGGAGAGAACCAGAGTGCTGCTGGCCGGACAGGGTGGACTGGCGAGCCGCAGGCAGCTGGCTGAGTAAGGAGGTATAAAAGGGCTTCTCGGGTGGCTCAGCAGAAAATCCACCTTCTCTTTAAGGGCATGGAGACCTTCTCAGACCAATGATGTGCAAGAGTCCCCTGTGCACCTCCCTTGGTTGGGGCAGGACAGGCAGGCAGCCCCGGAGGAGAGGGCAGCCGCTGGGGACAGAGGGGTGGGGAGGGGGAGGACATCGTCTACCCGTGGGGTGGGGAAGCAGAGCCACCCCGGAGAAGCCCAGGAGGTGCTCTTCCTCTGGAGTGCCGAGCAGGGAGCCTTCCTCCCCCTCTTCCTCCCATCAACCTGTGACACCAGATATGGCTTCAAGGTTGTGGGGAGCCTGGGCTCCCTGCACACAGCCATCCATCCGCAAGGCCTCTAATAAAATATCCTGTTGGAGACAGAGTGGCTTATCCATGGACAGGGGCACGGCTCCACTTACCTCCAAGGGCTTGGGAACAGCTCTGCCCTTCAGGAATGAAGAGGGGAAAGAGCCTGCACCCCCCAATCAACCGCTCATAGCATATGCAAGAGCAATCCCTGAGCAAGCCATCCATTGCTAGCACGCTCTTTTAATCTCACTTACCACACGGGAAGCATTTGCAGCTCCTCCCCGTGTGAAATATTTCAACACAGCTAAGTTTTTTAAAAAACAAACCTGTGGAGCCGCTGCGGGCAATCCCGAGGCTCACTGCAGTGCAGGGGCTGGGGAAAGGCAGCAGAGCATGGGGGAGCAGCCCCATGCTACCAGCAAGAAAGGCAACCCCCCACGTTTGCTGTGGGATGCCCCAGATCCATATCTCCATGGGTCCGAGGGAGAGGCAGGTCGAAATGTAGCTGGAAATATTCACCAGCCCCAGTCACAGCACATGTAGTGCGTGTGTGTAGGGGATCCCATGGAGACAGGAGCCTAAACAGCTCCTGCCCTCCTCTCCCAGCCCAGGCCTCCCTCCCCTTTCAGACAGGTTTTTTTAGGCTGATTCAGACATGGCCCTGACAATATTTTCCAGGCACCCCTCAGAGGCTATGTAGATAGCGGGAAATCTGCTGCTGCAGGCTTCCTGTTTCACCACCTTCAGCATCATGCAAGTAATGCTGCAGATGCCGGTGAAGGAAGAGCAAGTCCTTGAGACAGGGCTGGTGTCTTGCAGGGGTTTGCCCTCATAGCAGGTGGAGGAAGGAGAAACCCCTAGTGTGGGCAAGGCTGGGTCCGCTCAGGATTTGTCCCTTTGAAATGTCAAGAGGTACATGGTTTGGGTGGTGAACATCTTGGTGTCAGTGTATGCTGGCCTGTAGATCTGAGCTACCCCCTTGCAAATCCACCATGAGACTCCTGGAAATGCACAGCAAAGGTACAGTTCAGCAGAGGTTTTGGCTGGTTTTGCCCTCATCTGGGCCTCCATGCGATGGCTGTGGATCAGCACCTAGTGAAGGAGCCAGGCTTGGGAAGAGCTATAATGAGGATCAGCCTGATCCAACCCTCCTCCTCACTCACCTCCTGCACATCCTCGTCCCCAGGGCAGTGAGCTCTAATAGAGACAGGGGTCTGCAGGTCCAGGCAGACTTAGTAAACACGGAGGTTAAACTCCAGCAGCTTCTGCCCACCAGGAGCATCCCTTGCTGCAGCCGCAGAGGAGGACTCATTGGTAGAGGCATCACTGCATACAGCACCCATCTCCCATCTGGACTTCAGAAAAAAACAGACGGTTTGGCAGGAGGAATGTCTGCTTGTCCCAGCTAAAGCCAGTTTCTCAGAAAATGAAAAAACAGAGACCAAAGCAAGCACACTTGCAGACAGACAGTGGCCACCCTCAACAGCCAACAGCAGAAATCACCCATTCAAGGACAGCTTAGCCACTTCACTTCTCTCAGTGCTAACTCCATAAGCCATGGTTGACTCTAGAGTTAAATTGACTCTTTATTATTCTTTCTAAAGTCTCTACATCCATTTTCTTTAGCTCCCTACACAGCTGCGCACATTCTAGCCACTGCTGGACCACCGGTCCTCCAAAGAGCAGCTTAGCTCTTGGTGGAGGGATCAAAACTGGGAGGGTTACCCATTCAAAAATTCCCCACCCCCAAGGAGTTTCCTTCAGCCCTGTGAAATGAAGGCTTTCTGAACCTCCTGGAGCTCAGGCATGCAGCACAGCAAAACAGATTTGCTCTGAGTTCAAGGCTTTGGTTATCACCTTGTGAGAGGGAAGTGTTGGCCTGAAATAGTTGAATAAAGAAGTTCAAAAAAAGAAGTCCCACGAGCAAAATTTTGGCTAGAACAAATGTGTTTGTAGGATATGGAAGGAGTGGATGGCGAGGTGTGGTAATAGGGTAAGCAGAAGGTCAAGCCTCCAAGTCTGCATAAGGCTTTCCCTGGAGCTGCCTTGCACAGAGGTTAAGCTGTAGGGCAGCTCTCCCAAAAAAAGAGAAAGGCCCTAGACCTAGAATGTCATGAGGAAGAAACCCAGTGAGGACCAGGAAGAACAGAAAACCAAAACCATCCCAAAGTACGAGCTATGGTTAACATTAAGAAAGACAGAGGTTTCCAAAGGAAGTAGTGTAAGTGTTTGGAGTGAGGAATGAACAAGTTCCTTGCAGAAAAACTCAAGGAAGACATAAGGAAGCTCTAGGCAAGTCCTTCAGAGAGGTGCTCAGCTCTGTGAATATGAAGTATGAATGAGGGTATTGCACAGGGGCCGGGAGTGGACACATCGTTCACACCTGGGCACCCTTCCTGTGGAGTAGATGACCTTGTTCCCTTCCCTCGTTCCCCTCCACTTGTGCTAGAGGAATGCACCATGAGTACAGCCCACCATTTCCAGAGCACTTTCACCATCCTGCGAGGCCAGACAGAGGGAAGACCTGGCATGTACAGGAGGTCCTGCCCTATGCTTTAGAGAGACTCAGGTGTGGCACTTCTGGGCCAGGCTCCTCCAGGGAACCACCACGTGTTGAAAGGACTAGGCTGATGGATCTATGCAAGCGGTCCCTCATGGCCATCTCCTACACCCTTACACATTGCCTCCTCTTCAACATCCTACAAGCACCAAGTGGACAGGCACTATGGGGTGCCATGACACCAGATCACACTATGTCTTATTTCCAAGGATGACACTGTTAGCAAAAAAAACAAGCCTTCTGCTCAGCAGCAGTAAAAGCTCAAGCAGGACTGCTGAGCAAACCAGTGTCTGACTTCCCTTTGCTTTCCCAAAATCATATCAGACCAAAGCAAAGCACGTGGCTCCCATCCTGCCCAGAACACTCCCTCTACCTCCAGTGTATCCCTAAAAGAGCTCCCCGTGTTCTACTTCTGCTGACACCAGCCTCTAGGAACTGCTACAAAGGAATGCCATCACCTTTGCATCTTGTGCCAGTGATGTTCTATGTACCCCACAGCTACAGTCATCTCGTTCACCCATGAGATGGAGTTAAGGCTTTTGGCTTTTCCTCTTCAGGACCGCTGCCAAAAACACAGCCACCCTGTCCGTTTAGCTCCATGCCATCTTCCTTGACAGGGAGTGCTTCAGGCATGTGATGTTGATGCCCCCAGGCTGCAGGGACATCTCCAAACCCACCAGCAGGTCCTGATGACACTCCTGGATGTTCAGTGGGTACCGTGCCCTGACGAACTCATAGGCTGCCAGCAGCCTCATGCTGTGCTTGACCATCAGATACTGAATGACACAAGTAGGACCTAGAGAGTAACCATCCCTGCAGTGGATAAGGACACGCTTCCCTTTCTCCAGCGAGGCTTCGATGCACTCATTGATGTCCCGGAAGCAGGGCTGCCCCATTTTGTGACGATCCCCATGGAGTGGAGCCTGGATGTCAACCTTGAGGCGTGACCAGCTGTGCCTGAAGCCTCCCCGTTGGCACGTGCAGGGGATGATGCTCAGGCTGTGGTCACTGGGCAGGCTGCTCATGTCGATGATACTGTCAATGCTGTGGGTGCACAGTGCCCGCCCGCTGTAGGCAGCGTTGAGGTTCCCCAGGTAGATGCAGTCAGTTATCCGAGCGATGATGGGTCCTGTGAAGGGGGAACATGCAGGCTCTTCTGGTTTCAGACCAGTGAGCTCCTCAGGATGTGGGTTCTTCTTCCAGCTCCCCCTGAGGGATTTCTTGGAGCTGGCATGGGGCAGGGGGCTGGAATCTGACTTGGAGCCCGATGATGGTGATGAGAAGATGGAGAAGCAGCTGGAGAGCTTGGCCTTGCAAGGGTAGTCTGCTGGACAAGGCAGGGGAGGAGCAGGGGTGGGACTGGATCTGAGGGCACAAGAATGGGATGCCCACACCAGGGACCCCATGCTGTGGGCTGCCCGTCCACTCTCAGCCTCTTCCATCTGCAAAAAAAGGGAAAGGACTGGTGAGAATGCAGAAACTCAGCTCTTCAGCTGCTTGAGCAAGGGCATGAGCTGGCAGCTGGCTTTGCCCACGGCAGCACTTGGAGACACTAGAGGCCCTGAAGACCTTGCACATCACCAGCCCAAATACCCAGCCATCCTGTTCCCCTGGGATAGGCACAAACACGCCATAAAGGCTCACCTGGACCTGCAGACCACTCTGACAGTCCTGGGGTGCCAACTTGTTGGAGTGGTTGTCCCCTCCTGCTGATGGTGCTAAGCAGAGTGACCAGTGTGTCCTGCGGGGCTGCGTGGCTACGGACACCACATCCGCACCCTTCTCTTCATGTACTTCACTTTTACTCATCACCAAGTTTGGACAAGAGCCTGTAGGAACAGAACAACTCCATATGGACACCCACAAGTAGTCACACGCAGGTGCTTTCGATACAAACACTGGCCTTGAAGAGAAACAAGGCATTTTAATGATCCCTTCCACTCCAGAGGGACACACTTCGGTGTGGGCTGCTGGAGGGGTTTGCAACTCATTGCAAGCTGGAGCCAGGAGGAAGGACAATGTTTCAAAGTGAAAACATGAAGGGTTGAAGAGCAGCTGCAGGGAGAGGGCAAATAACAGAAAACTCCTCTGGATGAAGCCCCTTCTGACCACAGTAGCACCCAGGGGCTTCAGTCTTCAGCGACGGAGAGGCTGTGTTCATAGCCAGGGTTAGGATCACTCAGTTCCCAGCTCTGCCCCAGGCGCAGATCTCACTC